TGCCCCCCGGCACCCCAATTCTCTTGTCCCCACTGCTACTATCCTGGCTGAGGCCACCTGCTCTTTGTCTGGTAACTGCAATGATTTTCAAGTAGTTTCCTCTCCCTTCTTCCATTGCTGCCCTTCCATCCTTCCATCTAATCTTAGAAAAGTCTTTGCAAAATCTAATTTGGCTCATAACACTCACCCTCTCCCCACCCTAGAAACTTTCAGGCCTCTTAGAGAGCCTGAATTCGCAGCTCAACAACTAAGATCATATGTGTGTGTGTGTGTGTACACGTTCATGGCTGCAAGCAGGAGCCTGGATATGTGAAGTTGTGAGTGCACACAGGCCAACGGTCAATCTTGGATGTTCCCTCGGTGTCTCTCCACTTTGATTTTTGACCCAAGGTTTCTCATTTTTACCTGGAGCTCACCAAATTCATCTAGGATAGTTAGCCAGAGAACACCAAAGACTTTCCCAGTACCACCATGTCTGGTTCTAGGGATCAAACCCAGATCCTGAGCTTACACGTCACTATAGCGACTGACCCATCTCAGCATATAACTACCACTTGCTGTTCCCGAAGGCCAGGCTCCAACCCAGCTGGACCCACATAGGTGGGGGCCTCTCTGGGTTTTGTCCATGATTCTATCTTCCCTTCATCTGAGAAGGACAGTGCCTCCCTACCCTCTTTGGACTACCTTCTGCCTGCCTAGCTCCAACGACACTGGCAGGTCTCACACCTCCCAGCTTAGGAGACACAGGTTTGAAGTTGGCCCTGAGGTTTCCTGGCACCAAATTTTTAGGCAGTTACAGGAGGCATCTGAGACTCCACTGCCTCACCTGCAAGGACAGAGTGTACCCAGGTAACTCGGACTTCTGCAAGGATAGAATGTCAAGAAGCCGCAGAAAGAGGAATGTTTAGAGGAACTTCACCTGTAACAGACAGAAACTGGACTAAACTCAACATCCATCTTAGGTGAATGAGAAACAGCCTACTGTCGGCCACGGCACGGGCTGCCACACACTGGCACGGGCTGCCACACACTGGCACGAGCTGCCACACACTGGCTTGGGCTACCATATACTGGCATGGGCTGCCACACACCGGCACAGCAGGCAAGCTCAAGGACACAAAGAAACCCCATGGGCAGGAGGGACCAGGGGGAAAAGAGGCCTGATGATTCCAAATCGGTAAACCCTAGAAAAACACAAGAAGAAAGCAAATTAGTGGTTGTGTGGGATGCAGAGTTAGAGCAACAACAGGACACAGGAAGCTGTGGGCAAGGTCATTCAACAGCTTGCTATGGTGACATCTCTTGAGTCCTGAGGCACAATCAGTGCAGTGGAGACAAAAAAAAAAAAAAAAAAAAAAAAAAGATGAGATCAGGAAGGAGTCCTGCCCAGGACTCAGCACATAGTAGGCATTCAAAAAATGTTAGCTCGTGCCTGAGAGTGGAGAGGGCCTCAAGGCACGCTGGAGATACTAGCTAGGACAAGTGGGACTCGCCCTGACTTACACGCTTACTAGCCAACTTCCAGGCTGACAAACCAACTTCCGGGTTAACCAGGGCCTGAGCTCTGAGGACAAGCCCCTCCCAGTGAACAAGACAGTAAAGCAACAGCTGATGGAGAACATCTGTTTAGGGTGGACGTGGACGGACAGATGCTGAGGCTGCAGAAGAGGGGGGTTCTGAAGGGAGGCTGGAGAAGCAATGGTTCCAGCTTGGCAGGAACTTGGTAGCAGGAAGGGTGGGGCCTATACAGGATTGGTGGGAAAGGAGGGTCTAAGAGAGCACAATGCACTGCTGTAGACACAATCTTCATCAGAAACAACGGGGCGGGCGGTGGTGGCGCACGCCTTTAATCCCAGCACTCAGGAGGCAGAAGCAGACGGATCTCCATGAGTTTGAGGCCAGCCTGGTCTACAGGGATAGGTCCAGGACAGCTAGGGCTAAGAAACCAGAATTAGTCAATTGATTAAAAAAGAACCCGGGAGAGAGTTCACAAAGACTGTGCTAACAGACAGCCCAGAGTATGCTCAGCTTCACTTCATCCGTCCAGAGAAATGTGCCAAGGAGTGCAGACTGCTCAGACGTGTGTCCTACACAAACAGGTCCTACCCAGACGGCAAGCTGGCACCTTCTCAGTCCTGAGATCCGTACCCTTCACCTGGCACTTCCAGAACCTGGTGTGCCACAGTGCTTACCACAACATTATAGCCCGGATCCCAAAGTGACTTGGAAGTCCAGGAAAGGGGACTGCAGTGCGTGATTAAATCATATCGAGCCATTAAATCATACTTTCGGAGCACTTGGGGGGCAGGGTGCATATCTCACCCTGCACTGTTAAGTTGCAGAAGGGCAGAATTCAAAAATACATATGGTTGATCCTTTGCTTTCCAATCATTAGCATCTATTAGGTGCCAGGCTCTGCCCTACACACTAAGTACTTCAGAAAACAGGCACAGTCTAGACTTGGGACATGGAATTCTATCCTTTGAAGATGAAGGAAGGCAAACAGCAAAGAATTGGTGCTATGTAAAAAACACGGCACCTGAGGCAGCGGAGGCCACTGGGGGCGGTTTCCACAAATTTGAGCATTCCCTCCTGGAGGGAGGAGGAGACCTGAGACTGGGAGGTGAACTACTATGGTCTGGGAAGCTTCAAAAGGATAAGGATGGACAGGAATGGGAACTGTGGGTGAGAAGAAGCCATGGGCACAAGTCACCAAAGTTGGTCTACTGCTGCGAGACGGTGGTGACAACACTAGTTTAAAGGGCATGAGAAGGAAGCAGTTGGGAGCAGAAGACAATGAGTTTGGTTCTGGTGCTATGGAAGGGGTATGAAGAAGCCTAGCTGTCTATGTCTCTTGGAGACCCAGAAACTGGCCCTTAGACAAGGGAGCGGCAGCAAAAAGAGGTGTGAGGAGGAAAGGAAGAGAAGGAGAAGAATACCAAACAGTCCCGGCTGTGAGCCAAAGCTTATGCTGAATGCTCCAACTACTTCCTTCTAATCATCACACCGCCCTGTGAGAGGGATGCATAGCCCAGCCCTGTGACAGGAACACACCGCCCTGTGACAGGGACACACCGCCCTGTGACAGGAACACACCGCCCAGCCCTGTGACAGGAACACACCACCCAGCCCTGTGACAGGGACACACCACCCTGTGACAGGGACACACCGTCCAGCCCTGTGACAGGGACACACCGCCCAGCCCTGTGACAGGGACACACCCTCCAGCCCTGTGACAGGGACATACCACCCAGCCCTGTGACAGGAACACACCGCCCTGTGACAGGGACACACCCTCCAGCCCTGTGACAGGAACACACCGCCCAGCCCTGTGACAGGGACACACCGCCCAGCCCTGTGACAGGAACACACCGCCCTGTGACAGGGACACACCGTCCAGCCCTGTGACGGGAACACACCACCCAGCCCTGTGACAGGGACACACCGCCCTGTGACAGGGACACACCGTCCAGCCCTGTGACGGGAACACACCACCCAGCCCTGTGACGGAAACACACCACCCAGCCCTGTGACAGAAACACACCGCCCTGTGACAGGAACACACCACCCAGCCCTGTGACGGGAACACACCACTCAGCCCTGTGACAGGAACACACCACCCAGCCCTGTGACAGGAACACACCACCCTGTGACAGGAACACACCGCCCTGTGACAGGAACACACCACCCAGCCCTGTGACAGGGACACACCGCCCAGCCCTGTGACAGGAACACACCACCCAGCCCTGTGACAGGGACACACCGCCCAGCCCTGTGACAGGGACACACCGCCCAGCCCTGTGACAGGGACACACCGCCCAGCCCTGTGACAGAGACACACCGTTCAGCCCTGTGACATGACACACTGCCCATCCCTGTGACATGACACACCGCCCAGTCCTGTGACAGGACACACCGCCCAGCCCTGTGACATGACACACTGCCCAGCACTGTGACAGGGACACACCACCCTGTGACAGGACACACCGCCCAGCCCTGTGACAGGGACACACCGCCCAGCCCTATGACAGGGACACACCGCCCAGCCCTGTGACAGGGACACACCACCCAGCCCTGTGACAGAGACACACCGCCCAGCCCTGTGACAGGGACACACCGCCCAGCCCTGTGACAAGGACACACCACCCAGCACTGTGACAGGGACACACCGCCCAGCACTGTGACATGACATACTGCCCAGTGAAGTCCATTTTATGAACTGGGACTGATCCTGCAGCCCAGGAGCCTGGGGCTCTACCACTCTAAAGCAGCCCTTGGACCAGCCTTCCTGGGGAGGACTCTTCCCTGTCTCCTTCACACGCACAGACGCTTAAAGTCTTCCTCAGGCACCCAAGGGCACAATATCTAAAGATACACTCAGGAAAATGTTGGTCCATGCTCTTAATTTTCTGAACCCCAAAGGAAGAGCAAGTCTCTTCCATTTTGCGCAGCATTCAATTCATGAGTGGAACCTACCGTTTTGTTTTATACAAGTCAAAGGCTTTCCTCCATCTGCCAGAATAACCTCCGGTACTTGCAGCCTCACCCAACTGCACAGAGTAGCTCAGGACGTACTCTACCATGGTAACTTGAGCATCCTTTACCAGCCATCCCAGGGCCATATCCTGTCCTCTTATAACCTGGGCCCTGGTTGTGGGAGATGACCCCTCATCCTGTCAGATTGGGCAAAGCTTAGCCCAGACTGACTAGAAGGAAACACTGGTCACGCGAACGTGGAGGAGGCAGGATATACATGTTAATGTAGGGGAAACTTATAGTTTTACTTTGCAATTGATGAGTGACCCACTGGTCATGTCTGGCCATGTGGTCCAGATCCTTCAGTCTAGCTCTCCTGAATGCTAAAATGACTGAGACCACCTAACTAGGTGTTGTTGCTTTACCAGCCACTCTCTGGCAAAGACAGATACAGAAGCCCAGACCTCTCGACTGTCCTCCTACCCTGTGTCCCAGCCAGCCACCCTCCCGGGCCCTGGACTCACCGGCAGTCAGCGTGGTGAACTCTAGGAAGCGGTATTCGTAGGTCACATCTACCTTCGTCTCGACTTGAGGTCTCCTCAGAGTTGAGTAAATGTTCCCAGGCCGCTTCTCTTCGTGCTTCTCCACCTTGTTCAAACTGCAGCCCATTGCGACAGCTGACCAAAAGGGAAACAAGCGGGGAGACGGAGATGTTTTTAGTGATAATTTTGAAACACAATAGCATAAAAGACCCCCAATTTTCTGGAGGACTACATCAAAGACCTCAGTGCCCAGGAAATCACATATGTGATTCAATACAGCTCCAGATACAGGGGACCAGGCCACCTCTCTTCCTATGAGGAAGCCATTACCAGCCATCCTTAGAGATCTGAGTGACCCCAAAAATGGCCCTGCTTTGTATCTTGTCTCCTCTCTTTGAGGAAAATAATACCTCTGAGTAGCTTCCTCTACCGCCATCTGTACACATGATTAAAAAAGCAGGGCCTAAAAAGCAACAGCGTGTATTACGCTGTCAGCCCATCTGCAGAAATGCAAGATGCACGTCACCTTCCGCTCAGTTGCTAAGGGGGATAATAAGTTGTTGTTACAGTCTCTAAACTCTGGCATCCCTTCTCCCCTCAATGGTAATTATTTAGACAGGAATTGATATTCAAACATCTCAAAAAGTAGATGCTGGTATTTTTAAGGGTCTTGTCTAATAGCCCCCCTTCTCTTCTTTTTCAGACCAAACGGCAGGAAACAGCCGTAGGCTCCCCCACCTCCAGCCATCTCAGATTAAAATGAAAAGTGACGGAGCATAATGGGACCAGCGAGACATCAGCCGCTTCCACATGTGCTGGAAAAGCAGTGGTCTTGGCTCACAAAGGAAGTGGAGAGATGGGGAAGCGGTAAGCGCAGATGGGATTCCCTTGTTCTCTGGTTGAAGTCAGTAACGGTTTTCTGTTTATTTGGACAGAATGACATTCACATGGTGACATTTTATGGGAAGGTTAGGTTCCTTCTACACCCTGGGCACTAACTTCTCTTCCTCTCTGGATACTGTCCTACTACAGAAAATGTTTGCCTAAAATACAAACTGAACTGGCTGAGAGTCAGTCAGTCTCTCTCTCTCTCACACACACACACACAAACACACACACACACACACACACACACGAACCACTTCCTCCAAAGACAAGGATTTCCTTCACCAATCCATTCACAGTGTTCCTAGCTTCCTAAAGCAATTTGGTAAATTCCAGAAAAACAAAGCGAACTTCGGAAAAGCAGTAAGGGCATGGGGCAGGAGAATGATGGAAGACTGGAAGGAAAAAGGGACATAGTCATGACAGCCTCTACTCTGCAGTAATTAAGAAAGACGTCAGAGAGAATTGATGGAAGCCGGAAGCCGGACTTATGCCTTAATAAGGGAACATTAGTGTCCAGGAACCAGAGCACACATGATTTCTGTGCGGATATGCGGTCTGTGTGAAACTGGTAACTACATTGTGTGCGAAGACTGCTGGAGAACTGTGCAGTGCAAGTTCCTGCTGAGTTCTGGGACCAAGAATCCAAAGAGTCCAGAGGTACAGTGTCCTTCAGTGCTGCCCTGGGAAAGGGCAGGCTCTGGAATCACAGCACAAGGCTGGTGGGAGCCTGGGGAAGCTGAAGTGAGCTCTGCCACACAGATTTGGGCATGCAGAAACGACAGAGACCCTGAAAGAGTAAAGGGATGAAGTAGAAGAGGAATGGCAGGCTGTGGAGTCTGACATCCTGGCCTACCAGGTCAGAAGGTGAGAGTCACCACTTCCCATAGTGCCTTTGTGAGATGGACAGGTCTTGACCTCCGAGAAACGCAGCCCTGCCCCAGCTGCGGCTTGGAGAGCAGAGTAGAGGCTTGACCTAAGCCCTTTACCTAACCCCTGTGACAGCCTTCACAGCTGGGCATGGTGGTACTGTATCATCAGGGAAAAGACAAGCCAAGGAGTCGATGTCACAACTGGACATGACTGACTTACAGAGTCCTGCAGAGAAGCGTGGGGAGGGACAGGCAAGGGAAGATCTAAGCGCAGAAGTCGGGAGAGAGCAACACAGATTTCAGGTTAAATCTGTTTGTTCTTCAGAGCACAGTCAGGGCGTGGAGGAATCCAGGGATTGGCTGAGCTACCGGAAGAGCACCTGTACACCTGCAGACCAACCAGCTTCAATACTCGGACAGCACTGGAGAGAGCTCATGCGCCGTCCTCACCAAAGCAGAGTGGGGAGGGAACGCCGCTCTCATCTCTCTCCAGCTGATGGGAGTGGGTTCTCACACCACCTTGCTCCACAGAGGGAATTTATCCAAACCCCATTCTAGGACTACCTCAGGTGAACAAGGAAAAGACCAGGGAAACACAGCAGCCATCTTGGGACACCCTCAACAAGCATGGAACAGGATGGATACATACAGCTGATGAAGGAACAGATGGGGAACTGAAGTCTATCACTCATCAGGGGAATGGCAGAAGGGCCACGGGGAGAGAGTGGAGGCTAGACCAGCCACTTATACAGGTTAGCCATCTCCAGACTGAACATTCAAAGCCTGAAACCTTTTGAGAAATAATACTGAAAAAGTTTGGATTCTGGAGCATTTAGGACCTTGCAGTTTCAGATGAGGGAGCTCAAATGGGGGAGTCTATGCAAATATCTCCCGGTCTAAGATTCTGAAATCTGAAATGCTTCTGTCTGAGCATCAGGGATCTTCATTCGTGCCAAGCGCTGGGGAGGGTACAGAGATGCTTGAGATTTGATTTAAGCTTTCTGTTCGCTTTAAATATTTACTTTATTTTGAATTTTATGTGTGTAAGCATTTGCCTACATGTATGTCTGTGTACCATATGCATTCTTGGTCCCATGGAGGCCAGAAGGGGGGCTGAGACCCTTGGGAACCAGGATCACAAGCAGCTGTGACCGGCCATGTGGGTGCTGAGAACCAACCTGGGTCTTTTGCAAGAGTAGTGAGCACTTTTAACTTCTGAACCATCTCTCCAGCCCCCAATTTCATTTTTAATTATCTGACTTGTAATTGAGAATATGCTAGTTTTTGCATAAAATTTCCCTAATAAATATCTCATATGAATAAATACTACCAAATCAGGTCACCAATATTTTTACGTCTTCAAATTAAAAAAATAAAAGCAGAGCACACGGATTCTCCTGCTTATCCCAAGAGTGACCTAGTCTGGAGAAATGGCGAGGTATGTGGAGGCTGCAGGCACACCTATCCGGTCATCCAATCCTCTCTAGAGCTGTACCAACAAAAATGTGTCACAAGGCACGAGAACGCCTACGGTCCCACTTCTCAGATGACCTTGCAGGGGGTTCAGTACAGTGAAACACACTCATGCATTAGAGAATCAGAAAGCAAGGGAAATGCAGAAACTAGAGAGTGGCGACTGTCTTAGTCAGTGTTCTGTTGCTGTGAGCAGACACCCACGGCGACTGTCTTAATCAGTGTTCTGTTGCTGTGAGCAGACACCCACGGCGACTGTCTTAGTCAGTGTTCTGTTGCTGTGAGCAGACACCCATGGCGACTGTCTTAGTGTTACGTTGCTGTGAGCAGACACCCATGGCGACTGTCTTAGTGTTTTGTTGCTGTGAGCAGACACCCATGGTGACTGTCTTAGTCAGTGTTCTGTTGCTGTGAGCAGACACCCATGGCGACTGTCTTAGTGTTCTGTTGCTGTGAGCAGACACCCATGGTGACTGTCTTAGTCAGTGTTCTGTTGCTGTGAGCAGACACCCACGGCGACTGTCTTAGTCAGTGTTCTGTTGCTGTGAGCAGACACCCATGTCGACTGTCTTAGTGTTCTGTTGCTGTGAGCAGACACCCATGGCGACTGTCTCAGTGTTCTGTTGCTATGAGCAGACACCCATGGCGACTGTCTCAGTGTTCTCTTGCTGTGAGCAGACACCCATGTCGACTGTCTTAATCAGTGTTCTGTTGCTGTGAGCAGACACCCATGGCGACTGTCTTAGTGTTCTGTTGCTGTGAGCAGACACCCATGGCGACTGTCTTAGTGTTCTGTTGCTGTGAGCAGACACCCATGGTGACTGTCTTAGTCAGTGTTCTGTTGCTGTGAGCAGACACCACAGCAGCTTTTACAAAAGAAAGCAAGAACAGCTCAGCACCTCTGGGACCGAGAAATGCATCACTGTAAGCCTCACCCAAGGCCTGTGACCAGAGCTACAGTGACATCTGTGAAGCTCCAGCTGAAACAAAGCTTTCAACCTTGGTTGTCCTTTGGAATCAAGAGGGAACTGCTAAATGCTGGTGCCTGGGGTCTGGGGGTGGTTCCATCACCAGACCCCAAGAAAAACAACCAAAGAGAAGTTGGCTAGGCAGAAGGTGATTGTGGACTGTCTTGAGTTAGGGTTTCCATTGTTGTGATCAAGCACCATGACCAAAAAGCAAGTCAGGGAGGAAGTGTTCATTTGGCTTACACTTCAGCATTGCTGTTCATCACTGAAGGAAGTCGGGGCAGGAACTCAAACAGGGCAGGAACCTGTAGGCAGGAGCTGATGAGAGGCCATGGAGAGGAGCTGCTTACTGGCTTGCTCCTCGTGTCCAGGGATGGTACCACCCACCATGGGCTGGGTCCTCCACATCAATCACTAATTGAAAAACGCCCTACAGCTGGGTATCATGGAAGCATTTCCTCAACTGAGGCTCCTTTCTCTCTGATGGCTCTAGCTTGTGTCAAGCTGACACAAAACCAGTCAGTATATGTACCAAGAGAGACTATGTCTCTACAGGAGGGATGCTGATGCCGCCTATGGGGAGAGGTCTCTCTGTTCTCTGCCATGAGGACATGCTATAGGCTGAGGGTGTGTCTTTATCACATGACTGCTGGCTGCGCTCAGAGTGAATGACTTGAGAGCAAAGTGGACCCCAGTGGTGCCCACAGCCCAGCCTCACGCTACACGTGCTGCTATTTCCGCAGTGCCCGATGGACTCCAAGGGGCAGCTGTGGATTTAGCTTGCATTCAACGCTGTGGGGGCAAAGAGGGTCCTGCTCTACCTTGCAGCTTGCTCTAAGTCCCTAACAGCAGGACCCAGGAGGCCGGGATCTCTCCTGAGCCTTCCGTCCAGGCCTGAGAAGCAGCTCTCACTCTCGGCTTCCAGTCTAGAACCCCT